GTCTAGAACGACCTGCGTCTCGGGACGTGCAGAGTGTCAGAGAGTCTAGAACGACCTGCGTCTCGGGACGTGCAGAGTGTCAGAGAGTCTAGAACAACCTGCGTCTCGGGACGTGCAGAATATCAGAGGAGCTCGCAGCCATATAGAGGGTGCCAGCTGAGGACCAGAGGCAAAGCGCCTCCCAGGCTGAGGCAGGGAGTGTACAAAAGTGGGACTCAGCTGTTGGAGTGCTGGGGACAGATCTCAGGGACAGACAGAGGCAGAGCAAGCTGCTGAGGTCATGGAGAGCGAGTGGGAAGCTGGCTGCCCGGCTTCCCTCTCGGCTTCTGCCAGCTCCCTGCCCTGCACGGAGTGGGCTGCCAGGGCCCGGAGGGAGTGTGCAGAGTGAGTGAGAGCGGCCCACCTTGCTCCCGGGGTCTGCCAGGAGGTGGGGTGTGCTTGTGCTTCTGTGGGGATGGGTGGAGCTGTTCTGGGACCATCTCTGGAACCACGTCTGGGGTCTGGGTGCAGTTGAGGAAGCCATTTATGGATGGAGTTGGGGGCTTGAGAGAGGGCTGCTCAACTGTGTGGCCCGGCCCGGAACAAGGGTGGATGCCCTCACCCCCACAGAACTCAGAACCCAGGAACACAGCTCTCTGATACTTTCTCTTTCCAGGTGCTAACAGAACCTGTGTCCAAGTGGAGAAATGTCCGAGGCCATAATCCTCTGGTGAGTGTGTCGTTGGCTCTGAGAACCGGCAGCTTCCACTTAAAGCGCCTGGGCATGGTGGTGCTTGCTGGGGCCTGAGCCTGCCCCGCCCTGGCCCCCCATGTTGGTCCCTTGCCCTGAGCCCTACCAGAGGAGAAAAGAGCTGGGCAGTGGCAAAGGGCAGCTGACTGCTATTCCGAGGCCGAGGATCTGCAAGGCCTGACTCCGTGTCTGCAGAGCCCAGGGGTTTCCTGTCAGCTGTCCCGAACAATCCCAAGCGGTCAGTTTCGTCCACCCGGGGTGTGGATCTTGCTGCTCACTGCACCCCGAGCCTTTCCTGGCCGTTGTCGCGTAGGTCTCCTCAGGCCAGACCCCAGGACCTATTGCTAAGTGACGAAGTGCCTTGACAGACCTCTGCGGGGGGTTTGCACTTGGCAATGTCCAGGGGCTGCTTCCAGCGCACCCTGAAACCACCTGTCGAGGTGCTCGACCTAGCAGGCAGGCCCTTGACCCCTCCCCCTCCTTCCCTGTTCAAAGTCTTGCTCCACTGCCTGAAAGAGATGGACGGAGTCCAGGCCCTGTCAGAGGGAACTCAAGGCAGCGGTCATGGTCTGGGCTCCTGGCCTGTGTTGCAGGGTGGCAGTTTCATTGTCCAGCGGTGAGCTCACAGCTGAAGCAAGACCATCGCCGGTAACTGACACCTCCAGGAGGAGCCTGACGGGGGGCCTGTGTGTCCAGGCATCGCCAGCAGCACGCTGGCTTCTCCCGGGTGGTTGTGTAGACTCTGGGTTCCACTGGCCTGGGGCCGCGCCTTGTGTCCAGCACACTGCCTCGCGTTCCATCCTCCCTCGCCCGATCACATACCTGCCACGTGCCAGATACCACCCTAGGTACAGGCCCCGTGAGCAAGTCCAGGAGCCGGCTCTCCTGGCCCAGCGTTCACAGTGGGCAGGCTGAAGATAGGTGCATGACTCGGTGGGGTGCAGAAAATCGGGGCAGGTGAAAGGAAGTTCCTGAAATAAGGCCAGAACTCAGTCTTTGAATAAAGAAGCCCTGAGGTGCCGCCGGTACCAAGTGCATTCCAGCAACTTTTTTTTTTTTTAATACTATAATGGTTTATTTTCACATCATTTTGTACATTTTTTTTCCATCTCAATTGTAATCCCTGTGGGTTTCCCATCACTGAGTCACCCATGTGCCATCACCATAGTCCTGTGCACTTCCCTCTCCCCCATTTTTGATCCCATTCCCCACTGCACCCCCACAAAATGTCTCTGGTATATGGCTGTTCATTATTCTTATTATTTTCTCGCCTGGTCCATTATACTCCTGCTATGAGCAAAACCATCCAGTATTTTTCTTTTTCTTTCTGGCTTATCTCACTAAGCATGATATTTTCCAGCTCCATCCACATTCCAGCATCAGTTTTACAGTAAAAATAAGGCGGGAGCAGAGCTACCTATTCTGTCTCTTTAGCCATGCCCTGTTGTTTCTAAAAATACATTTTTATCGCGGTAATATTTTATAACATAAGTTTCAGGGGTACAGGATTGTAGACTTCAATATTTTTACCCAGGTTTCCACTCTGCCATGAAAAGCAGTGCTGCTCTTTTGCCGAGGCCTGAACCCGTCTCTTTTCCCGAGTCGGGTTTCTGTGGCAGAAACCCAGGCCAGAGCGTTGCTCCTCACCCACCCACAGCACGGAGCCTGCGGTTTCCAGTGCCGAGCACTGGGCTTTCATTAGCCAGCACCGAGGGGAAAAGCAAATATTTGGAAAAATGATTTGCAAGTAGAATGTAGAGCAAGGAGTGTTTGCCTCTAGCGGTGGCGAGGGCTGGGCTTCTGTTTTAGATGGGGTGCTGCAGGAGGCGCCTGCCTCTTCTTTGAGCAGAGACTTAGATGGAGTGGGGGGTACGCAGTGTGGCCCTCGAAGGAAGGGCATTCAGAGCGAGCGCACAGCAAGTGCAAAGGCCCTGGGGTGGGTTTGTGCTCGGCTGTCTGGGGAGCACAAAGGGTCTGATGTGGCTGGAAGCCCTCTGAGCCGGGAGACAATAGTAGAAGACTGCGAAGGAGATGGAAGTGGGTGTCCAGGGCCCGTGGGCTTGGGGAAGAGCGCTGAGCTTCATGCCGAGAGCAGCGGGAAGCACTGAGGGTGCCGAGCAGGTTTATGTCTGTCTCTGTCCACTCCTTTCTGAGGCCCTGCGACCACGCCGGCTTCCTCTCTGGCCCCAGCTGGGCCCCATGCGAGCTTCTCGGGATGACGCTCAGTGACCGCAGAGACCAGGGTGTGATAGGGCACTTGGAGGTAACAGGCTGCCTTGTCCTCTTGCAGGGCCTGATGTACCGGGACGCCTGCCGGTGGGCCCTCACGCTGCAGACGTACGTGCAACTCACCATGCTGGAGCAGCACACCCGTCCTCAGGTACAGTGCGGACGTCTGAGCTCCACCCTCATTGTCTTCAAAGTAGGGGTCTTGGACTGCCGGGAAGGGAGCGCTCCCAACGAGGCCTCTCTGGGCCTTCTACCCTGCTCAGCCCCCTCTCTATTCCTGCGCCTCTGTGAGGACCACCTCCCGTGCCCCACCCCCCCACTCTCATTAGCCACCCGGGCCTGGGTCTTCGCTCTGGCCGGCCTGGCTCAACGCCACTTCCTTAGCTCAGTTCTGCTCAGAGTTTGGTGCCAGGAACAACAGCCGCATCTGGCCACTTGTATTTTTGCGTACAAGAAATGGGGTACAGGCCAGAGGTGTGTGTAGGGGGGCAGGGGGTGAGAGGACCCACCAGAGGCAGAGTGGGGAGGAGAACAGTCAGATCTACTGAAACACACTGCCGAGGGGAGCAGGGGGCGAGGAGAGGGCTGCTGCGCCCTGTGGGTCAGCTCCCTGGCCGGGATAGAAACTGCTGCCGTGGCTGCCCATTGCTGCACAGCGCTGTGCTCTAACTCGTTGCGCCGCCAGGGAGGCCCGCAGCTGGCCACTTGTTAGAAAGTGGCCATTTCCTCGACCTGCTGCCTCGGTGGATCTGGAGAGGACGCCAGCATTTGTTGCCTGTCAGCCTTCCCGGTTTCTGTGGTGCATCTTCGTGTGCGCGTTTGAGACCCACTGACCGAGGGCCTCGCGTTCAGCGCTTGCCCTTGAGAGAAAGAATCTGCTGGGCTCGGCTTGGGTCGGTGTCCAGCCCCGGGCCAGCAGGGGTCAGTGCAGGCACAGACACGGCTGCCCTGACCCTTTCCTCAGCGGGTGTTGTCGGGCACTGGCCCCAGTCACAGGCTGTCAGAGGGCAAAGCAGGCAGGCAGGGCCTTACGGTGGGAAGGCGGCGTAGGCGAGCAGAGATTCCAAGAAGGGGGAAGGGGAGTGGACACGAGGCAGGCATGGAGTCCGAGTTGGGTGCAACTGCCCCTCTTTTCAGCAGGTCTTTATTTATACTGTTTAGCAAGCAGTTAGTTACAATAATGCATCAGGTAAGTTAATAAGAAATCAGCATAAAAGTTCTCAAGGAAGAGGCGAACAGTGTATCCTCTGCCTGACACTTTAGGGCACACTAGACTACACATCTCTGTGATAACTTTCATGTATACGATATTTAACTGTGACTTCAAAGGATGAGGGGTCTGGGAAAGATTTAGGGGTCCTGGGGAAGGAATAAATTGTGTTAGCAGAGTCCTCAGTGATTATCTAAAGAGAAGCTAATGGCTAACTTAAGGCTAGCAGAGAGTAGCTAGTGTTTGTTTTAGGAAAAGGTTAATTAAGACTAGCAGAGAGTAGTTAGAGATTAAGAAAAGGGTAAATTAACACGAAGTCACATAATTATGCATTAAGCAAAACCTGTGTCAATAATGTTAGGAAATGTCCATGAGTCCTTACGCCCTGGGAGTTTTATCAGAGGTTTTCTTTTTGTTTCGAAAGACCAAGGAAACTTCCTAGGAGTCTTGATGCTCTGGGGGGGGGTGGGGGAGGTTGGAGCCTATCTCTCCAGGAGCTTGCCTTTTGTTTCTAGACACAAAGGAATTTCCTGCCCTGGGGAGGCTAGTACTTTGCCCCGACCAGGTAGCCAATTTAAAAAGCTAAGGCAATCCACTTGCAAGCTGATGGTTGCTCAGAATATATTTGATATGGTTATACAAAAAAGAGGTTGTGACATAAGTTAGCAATGGAAATTCTGATTTTTCAGAGCTTTTCCCTTCCATCCGGAATTTGTCGGTCGACAGAAGTTGCAGAGCTTGTGTCAGGGTGTGAGTGAGAGGAGCCTGGTAGAGGAGAGGCTAGCGGGGCTCCTGGTGGGCACCATGGGTCACAGGTGCATGCATGAGGAGGGCATTGCAGGCTCCCTGGGGAGGGCACAGGGGGCCCCTAGGCCAGGCCACTGACCAGACAGTTTGGTCCAGGGCTGGGCACTTGCAGCTGTAGCTCTCATTCTCCGACAAAGCCGTGTCTTTAAAAAATGGAAAGATGTGGGCCCCACCTGGTGGTGCAACAGGTTAGTGCAGCACTGCGAGCTGGCCACAGGCACATCAGTGCTGTCCCAAGTGGCTCCACAGACCTCTCCTGACTCACCAACTACTCTCCTCAGAAGTTTACTTCGTCAGTCTGCCTGTCCTGCTCCCCACTCTGTCTCTGGTGAATCCTCTCACCACCCCTGCACCTCTGGCCTGTACAGTTCTGAATGCATAAATAAATCTTTAAAAAAAAATGGAAAGATGTGGAGCCCTCCCTGGTGGCACAGCAGGTTAAAGCACAGCACTAAGAAGCTAAAGCCACTTCAGCATGAGTTCCACCTCCACCCCGGAGGTGACCCATATGGCCCACATGGCGTGGCAGACCTCTCCTGTCTTGCCAGCTGCTCCCCTCAGCAGTGTACTTCGTCGATCTGCCAGTTCTGCTCCCCACTCTGTCTCTGGTGAAGCCTCTCACCACTCCTGCACCTCTGGACTATACCCCAGTTCTGAATGCATAAATAAATAAATCTTTTTAAAAAATGAAAACGTGAGCAGAGCAGAACCCTAGGAACTTTGTCTCCAAATATCTGTGTAAATGGTACAGGCCAGAGGCTCCCAGCACTTCTTCCCCTCCCCTACTTTTCGGTGTGGGCACTCAGATGCAAGCCCAGCACGTGTCTGGTGCCGGGATCTGCATTTCTGCCTCCTGTGCGGTCCTGCACAGCTTGGCTTTCAGGGAAACAAGCCGTGAGGAAACCAGCTCCTTTTGTTCACACTGGCTGGGTTCTTTTGTTCTCATCAGTGTTTTAATGAGGAAACACCGAGAACCTTTTGCAGATGTGACTCTTTGGGGACACCCCCGTGTTCCTCTACTTAAGACACCCTAGGACAGAGGAGTAGAAAGCAACAGAGCTGAGGAGAAGTGGAGGGGACTGGGGAGGATGTGGGTGGACAATCCCCATGTTGGCGCTTGGCCATGCTGGACAGCACTTAGCCATCTTTCTAGCACTTTCCCAAACCCACGTTGCAGTTGAGAACCTCCATGAGAGAGGCTGCTGCACTGGCCCCTGCGTTGCAGGTGGTGGGGGGCGGGGGGGAGGGGCACACGGCGGCCGCAGGGCTCTGTGCCGGCCGCCTCAGTCTCCCCGCTGCTTCTGTGCTCAGCGAGACCACAGGCAGGGCCGCGAGACTGTCTTCAGAGTTTCCTGTGTTGGTGAATCACTTTTTCTTTCCTTTAGACATTACCTGTACGGCTGATGGAGAGGTCCATTCACAGTGCAAGATACGTTTTTGTAGAAAACCTGTATAGAAGGTACTGATCATTTCCTAAACCGGTGTTTTTTAAGACATGAAACAGGAGAGTGGTTATTCAGGTGGCAGCCAGGGTGCCCACCGGGCCCTGTCGGCCACTGGCTGCAGCCTACCCACCTCCCACAAGGCCCCAGTGGCCCCGGCCTTCTGCGCCGTTGCCTAAGGTGTGTGGCCAGAGGCCCCGCTGGCCTTGGCGGGCTCCATGCTATGTCTGGGGGCCCGCTGGCCTGGCCTGGCCCTGCCAAGGGTGAGGCGGCCACTCGTCTCCCTTCCTGTCCTCCTGGACGAGCCCGCCGGCCTGGGTGAGCGGGCTCCAGTGGCCCTGCGTGAGGGCCTAGGTGCTTCCCTGGGTCCTGGGGGTGACAGGGGAGGGGCGGCGGCTGGGGGAGACAAACAGCGGGCGACTCTCGCAGGACAGAGGCTGGCCCTGCTTTTGAGGCGTCAGCACCGGTCACACATGCTGTCCCCAGCCTGAGAGGCAGGAGGCCCTGGTGGGGTACGTGGCAGAGGGGAAGGGTGGAAGGAAGGTGAAGAATCGGAGGGACAGGCAGGCAATCTAGAGAGTGCAGATTTGCTGCGGTTTTCACTCAAAACTGCCCCCTGCCCCGTGGGAGCGGGCCCTGTTATACAGACATGTCGGGGAACTTCCGGCGGCCCCTCGGTGCTGGGGCCCCACACTCCTGTCCTGCGAGGGTCACCTGCTGTTCGTTTCCTCCAGTCGCCGCCCCTTCGCCTGTCACTTCCAGGACCCAGAGCGTCAGGGGGACCCCGGCTCCTCGCTTTTTCTCTCCTGCCCCTCTTCTTTCTAACTCGCTTTCCTTTTGAGTTGACACTTTCAATATGTGTAATGTCCCTCCTCCCTCTCGATCTGAAAGCTCACGTTTTAAGTTTTGGAAACCATA